CAACAACTCCTCCAAAACTCCCATTTAACTTCCCCTCTCCCTCCACTCTGCAGCCACATCTGGGCTACGGAGAAGATCGAAGCTGTAGCAGTCCATCTCCCAGGGTTCGAATTAGCGAGTCTAGTGAAGACCCGCTCGTTCAAACAGCAAAGGCACGCCTGTTGGCGCAGTAGGCTGGCTCTAGCGGGGTGCGTCTACACAGCACCATAGCTGAAATCAGATATGCAATTTGAGCTACGCCAATTGCGTATCTTATTTCAATGCCATTTCAAAATGGCTTATTTTGTCATTTGGCGCTGTCTACACAAGCACCAAATTTCGAAATAAAGCGCTATTCCAAAACGCCCCTTTATTCTTCATGGAATGAGGTTTACAGGGACGTCAGGATAGCGAGCCCGAAATAACGGGCTTGCTGTGAAGACACGGCATAGCTATGTTGGGATACTCTAGTATCCCAAAATAGCGTGGCACTGTAGACGTACCCACAAGGAGTAAGGGAAGAGAGAGTGTGCTCCCGCTGTGTGGACAGCGCCAAAATTCGATATAAGGTACTCGGGGCGGCCCGTGGATGCAGGCAACCTCGGCAGTTGCCTAGAGCGCCACGTTCAACGGGGCGCCCAATGATGACATCACGCCATTGAGGGCTACGGAGGCAGGGGCACCGATTGTACATTCCGCCTAGGGCGCCAGCTGCCAGCAGCTCACCATGAGCCACTCCTGAAGATAATTAATGTCACCAGAGTTGCTTAGCTTAATTGGAACCTATCCTCTTAGCGTAGACCTAGCCTCACAGTTCAGCTTTTACGTCCCTTGTGGCAGGTCTTGAACTGCTTGGCTGTTTTAAGAGAAAAGGCTTAATAGCATTAAGTCAGGCTGGGCGTTCTTCTCTAGCTCTGAACCCGTTCTGCCGTAGCTTTATGAAACCAGTCATGTGAAAGCAGCAGTGTTGGGAGCAAGGCCAACACCGTCACAGTCTCCAACAATCCATCTCACTGCTCAGAAGGTACCATAATACTTCATCAGAAGTCATCTAAAGAATGTAGAGTAAGGATACGGCATTGGCATATAAGCACAGGTTTCTCCCACAACCCTAGGAAGAACAGAAATGCCATCTCGGTGGTTATCCCCAAAAATGACCTTATCAGGATTTCAACAGGAAGGCTTTGCCTACACAGCAGGGTTTTTGCACAAGAAGCCGTTTGCAGAAGAGATCTTCCACAAAAACGTCTTGTGCAAAAGCACGTCCAGCCCTCAAAGCACAGTGCAAAAGCAAAGTGTTTTTGCACAAGAGAGTGTCCACACTGCACGGACGCTCTTGTGCAGGAAAGTTCTGATTGCCATTCACAGAACGGCCATCACAACACCTGTGCTTTTGCTGATAG